AAAATGGTCCATATTACTTGCCTCGCTCATGCATTGCATAGAGTGGCTGAAGAAGTTCGAGGACATTTTCCTGATGTAGATAGGCTAGTTTCAAACGGAAAGAAAATATTCATCAAGGCCCCTCTTCGAGTGCTGAAATTAAAACAGGAAGCTCCTCTACTGCCACTTCCTGCACAGCCTGTCATCACACGGTGGGGTACATGGTTGGATGCTGTGGCATATTATTGTGAAAATTACACATCCATTGAGAAAATGTTTAATGGCTTTGACAGCAGTGAGTCAACATCAATTAAAGCTCTCAAGGACTTATTCTCTACCCCTCTAGTACAAAATCTGGCATACATAAAGTCAAACTTCTGTTCAATTTCAGGTGCAATAACTCGCCTGGAATTTGTAGGGACTGAACTCTGTGACGCGTTGGACACTGTAAAGAGCATTGAGAATGAACTAAACCGAACTCGTGGTGAAATAAGTGACAGGATTAAAACCAAAATAGAAAGTGTTCTTCATCGGAATGCTGGTTATTCAACATTATGCAAGATTGCAGATATACTTTCCGGTAAACTAGCAACATTCGAAGATGATACAGAACTGTCACCAAACGACTTGACATTCTTCAAATATGCTCCTGTCACATCATGTGATGTGGAACGAAGTTTTTCCAAATACAAAACTATCCTTAGTGATAATCGGCGATCTTTCAAATTTGAAAATTTGAAAATGCATGTAGTTATAAATTGCAATTGTAACAGTGAAAATTGAGACGTGAATAACTCAGTGAAAATTGAGACGTGAATAGCTTGTGTTCTTTTAAATGGTGTTTTTAGATAACAGAGTTAAGTTAGTGTTCATACCATGTGCACCAGTGTTTGTCTAAAATATGAACGCAAATATCAGTATTAAAAAGAAAACAATGAATGGTTTAATCCAGTACGAAATGTCGAAATTCCATCAGTTTTCTTTCCTTCAGAGACATAATAGGGCTAATTTGGTAAGTAGGACCTACTATCATATATTCATCATCTTTATTCTTAAACTCTAGTAAAAGTTGTAATTAAAATTGTGAAATTTTATGTCCCATTTAATATTTAAGGTCATATTTTACACTTTTTAGGTCATATTTGACATAATTTTGGGTCATAAGTGCATGCATATATTTATAGTTTTTAGGTCATAAAAATCCGGGCCCTAGTTATAACAAAAGGGATTATAAAGAAAGAAACTCACTTTGAAGTGATGCATTAATATTAACAGGTATCTTTGCCATTCCCCCCATATACTGAACAGTGTAACTGGCTTGTACTACCTTGGACACCCCCCCCCTCCTTCCAGTCTCCCTTGCTTGTGCTTTGCTGTTAACACCCTGGACTTCCTTTCACATCTCTATCATTTTACTCTTCTTTGTGCTTGTTTTTATAATTTTATAAATGTTGAAAAGACCATAAACACAACTATATGTAACTACATTTATTACTAAATTCAATGAATATGAATATGCATTTACCTTGAGGAACAAAGAAGAATTCTCCTTTTTTCATATTTCTTGTAGTCTCATGAATAGTCACAATGGGTGTGCCAACAGATATATGGAACACCTGTACATAAAGAAATAACTTGACAACCACAGCAATCTTTTTATATCACATCTTGAAATACACAGTCATCACTTTTGGCCAGAATTATCTTCATGACAAGTAACTTTCTGTTCACCTATAATAAATTATTTTCTTAAAACAGTGATTTTGAAAATGTAAGATTCTGTACGATGCACTGGACACTGAAAATAAAACTGAAACATCGATATTGATATGCTGATTATTAAGGATGATACAAAACTCTTTTATTGTGGCAGAAGATTTGGTGCTATATGAGCCCAACTTTAATGTTCCGTAGCCATATTTTACTACCATGTAGCCTGATACCTTCAGACCAGTTAATTTAAATACCATTTACACACTACATTCAATAAATAAATCAAAGCAGGGAAAATCTAATCTTATTGCATTCTACTGCATTACAAGTGGTAAAGGGTTAATTTTTGAAGAAGTAAAACATGCATGAAAACCCTCACTTTGGCTAAAAGATCTTTATACTTATTACTGCTAACGATTTTCAGCAAATTTCCTCAGTGTAACTAAAGTTTGTGTATCAGTGGAGAACCTGGATTATCATCTTATACATAATTCAAAATCTGGACTCTGGTAAACTTTGCATTATGTAACAATAGGTTTTGATGACATACAATGTCAGAAATTCTTAAACAAACTGTTGTACAAAATGAGACTTTGAAACAGGCTACCTTGTGTGAAACTGCAAATTTGGATTGCAGAGTATATTTTTCACAAAACAAATGTCCACACATTTCACACTGATGCCACAAGATTCTGACTGACGTCATATAATATAGTCTTAGTGAAAGGTAAAAGAGAAGAAAGATATGCTGAAAGGTTTACACTAGAACAAACTGGTCTTGAACCCAAGATGTTTGGCATGGCAGGCCAGCATATTCACCAAAAACTTATTCATTTATTTATCAAATTACAGGATAATTAGTGCATGGTGAATTAATGAATTTTCACTCACAGTTTTATATTTCAGAAAAAAACACAAACTTACGAGAATGCCATGTGAGGCACAAGCCCTCATTAGAAGTTACAATTTCTTGGGTTGCACCAAATGTCAGTTCAGTAATATAGGACATGCTAAGAACTGTAGTTCCAAAATCAGTTTTTAATATAAGGAACATACCATACATCAAATATAATTATGTGTGCAAGACTCTAGGCCAGAAAGTGATAGTGCCAATTCTAATGTGAACTATGCACAATTCAGTGGTTTCCAAGCTTTCACTGCTCAATAAACCATTTCAGATGTGAATCCATCCAAAATAACATAACTTTGTAAGAATTTCTAATTCCAGATATGTTATATCTGGCCCACACATACATGCACTCATGAACACTGTCTCAACACCCATTTTAATTATGCCACCCCCCACCTATTTTCACTTGCACTGAAATACTAGTGGCACGACAAGTCTATCTAAATAAATTTTTACCTGCAAACTCACCTAAAAAATCACACATCTCAAAGAGATTCACTGAAGAAGGTTGCAGTGGTAAACTGTGTCTGTGTCTACATTCTTTGGATATTATCTGGAGTTAAGTTGTCAGAACTTCACAGTATGCTATAAGGAACTCTAGATGAAATATTCTGTTCCCGTTAGGGCTTCATAAGCAAATTGTTATTTCAATACAAATAAGTCTGCCGCCACCACCACCACCACCATCACCATTCCCTCCCATCTTCCACACAAACACAATATAAACACAAAGACGAAAATATGTTACTTACCAAATTTGAATCAACAATTGAATATGATTCACAAAAGGGAGCTACTTCAACAAATCCTGCTGACATTCCAGGAACTTCAAGACCTGTTAAGACAGTGAAGTTCTGTTCCTGATACCCAGTATTGTCTGACTCAACACGAAGTGTTGAGAAGCATTCTGGAACACAGAAATACCAGGTATAAAAGAAGCCTTGAAATCACTAAAAATATTTAAATACTCAAGATCTATCAAATATGCAGCTGGCAAAATTGTCATATGGCCTGAGCATCAAAATGTAAAAAAAATTTTACAACTATAGCACACTCTCACAGCAGAATAGAAGTACTCATATGCCATTCTTTTTCTTAGCTTGCTAAACAACCATTACACAAATTAAATACAGGAAAGGGCTCATCTTATAGATGAAGCTTAAGTTATTAAAGTTACTACATTACTGCACAAACATAATTACCTAATTCACAATTAGCATTCCCATATGGCACCAACACCATTTTTCTTGAACAAGTTCCTTTAATATCTTTTTGTGGAAACTGGAAACCTTCTTTTTGATACTGAACTATAATAAGAAGCAAATACATTTTAACAAATACCACAAAGACAATGAACAACAAAATCAAAATAAATATTACTATATAAAAGAGAAAAGAAAAATAACCTTAAGCTATGACCCTACATTCTACAGATAAAATAAATATATTTCATGATATGGTATAAGTTCAACATGCCACTGTCTTTGTATGTCACAGTGATGTAACTATAACGAAGAAAAATGAGTTATGGTAACAGATTTCACCTATAAAAGAGTACATTTTTATATGTACAACTGATGGTATTATTATTAATTTTATTCATTTCATATATGAAATCCTTTCACATGGTGATCTCAGTGTCTTCCTCCATGTTTCTCTAACTCTCCTGTTATTTCTTGTAATGCAGAAGTTCACCCTGGCTAGCTCACGAGTGTTGATTTGAGTGGCACTGCACTGCTGAATTTATGGAGATAATGAAAACATTACAAAATGTATCCTGGGTGTTTTCAGGTCAAGTCCAAACACTTGCAAAGAATATTAATGTTCATGTAAATTTAATTTAATACTGATAAAATAACATTTTTTATCTATTATAAATTTTCGTTCTATTGTACCTTATTCATCTGAACTGTGAGACACATTCCATTAAAATCTTCTAGTTTCACATGACAAATTTATTTTCACTTTCATCTTTCTACATTTTCACACATCTGAATTTAACCAGCACTAATATTAGAATCATTTCTCATCTGTGTGTGCCAACAGGGCCACTTCCTGAACTGTGAAACATTTAAAGAATTTCTGGCATTGCTGGTACATAAATAAATATTTATGAAATGCTAAAGAGAAAAACAGTTCATATCACACATGAATAATGACTTTCAGGATTAACTGCATACAACTTTACAATAATATATGCAATATTATTACTAACATTGAATCAAGCAATACTGTACAAAATTCATGAAATGCACCGAAGATGTAAATGCTTACGGCTTATTTTAGAAAGCTGTATTCCCATCTTAATTCTTATTTGAGATAATGTATCCAAAATTAAGATGGAAGCCTTGCAGATATTTTTTTGTATTATAAATAATAAGAGTACAGATACATCTGTGTGTAAAGGCTGATCTTGGTTCATTGGCATTCTACTTTATGAATTTGAGTTTGGCCATCTATGAATTAATTCAATTATTGACATATATCTATAACACAACATAAATAATAATGGTAATTATAAAGTTAACAATACTAATGAACACTCAATTCTGAAAGAACTCTATTTAGCAATATGTTACATAAAAGGTCATTTTACCAGAAGGCTTAGCAGCACCAACCCACTGGCGAGAAGGAAATCCAGAATCAATGCCAGCCACTTCACGGCAGAAATCTGCCCCTACTTTATATTGTATTCTTTCTCCTCTCCAGTATTCCAAACGCTTGACCCTTTTCCTTTTTGATCGCCTCAGGTCTGAAACATAACATCAACTGCAACAATTACCACTTTCACATATCCGTATTACATCTAATGTAATCGGATGCTGAAGGAGTTCCAACATTCTGGCACACTGTGGTGTGAGGGAGATGGAAGACATGGCCCAATACATGTCTTTCAGGAGGAATGAGGGTGGGAGGTTAGAGAATAGTTCTGTTAAATAGGAAGGAGACCTATATATGGGGCCACATTCATCCTTAAGAGAGCAACTGCAGCAGTCACCAAAATACCATAACAGCTTCAACAAACAATGTGACTAAAGCCTGAAGCTCAAGTTACACACCAGACACAGGCAGTGCAAAAATCTAAGGACAATAGTAATCACTTATGTTTGGCCATGCCACAGCTCAAGCAGTTAGTCCCTGGTTTCCCACCGTGGCAGCCCAGGTTCGAACCCGGGTCTGGTCAAGTGGGATTTGTGTTGGACAAAGTGGCACTTGGGCGAGTTTTCTCCAAGTACTTCAGTTTCCCCTGCCAATCTTCATTCCACCAAATTCTTCATCATCATAATCACCCAGGGCAGGCTACAATAGGCCAATCAGTGACTGCCGTGCTGAGTGGACCCAGTTGGACTCCACCCTCCACTAAGTGAATTAAAAAAAAATCACCTATGTTCATGAAAAATTATGAGCAACATTTAATCAACTCAACTGTACATATACATCCTTTCTATGGTACCTTTAACCAGCCCCACATTACACATTATCCCTCACCAAACATTTTAACAATCTAAACAATCACTACAATCTACATCTATATTTTATGCAAGAAATTTGTCACTACATTTTCACTGTAAAAATGGATCCATTTAACCCTGCAATAGTAATCACTTATGTTTGGCCATGCCATAGCTCAAGCAGTTAGTCCCTGGTTTCCCACCGTGGCAGCCCAGGTTCGAACCCGGGTCTGGTCAAGTGGGATTTGTGTTGGACAAAGTGGCACTTGGGCGAGTTTTCTCCAAGTACTTCAGTTTCCCCTGCCAATCTTCATTCCACCAAATTCTTCATCATCATAATCACCCAGGGCAGGCTACAATAGGCCAATCAGTGACTGCCGTGCTGAGTGGACCCAGTTGGACTCCACCCTCCACTAAGTGAATTAAAAAAAAATCACCTATGTTCATGAAAAATTATGAGCAACATTTAATCAACTCAACTGTACATATACATCCTTTCTATGGTACCTTTAACCAGCCCCACATTACACATTATCCCTCACCAAACATTTTAACAATCTAAACAATCACTACAATCTACATCTATATTTTAGGCAAGAAATTTGTCACTACATTTTTATTGTAAAAATGGATCCATTTAACCCTGCAATTTAGTAATGATATGTTTTACTTATTTATGTATTTACACAACACCTGATGATGGTCCAAGTGACTGAATCATGAAGTGGCAATGAAAAAATAAACGAGATTAAACCATTAATATTGTGACGTATTTGCGCTATGCAGTTGAGTTGCACTGAGTGAATGGCAGTGACTCCAGCAGGAGAAGTAACTGTGATACTGCAGATGGGAGTAATTGGAAAACTGTGAATTGTGTAAATGTAAAAGCGAGTGTTCAATAAATTTGCTACATCCAAAACAGCGTGAAGTTATTTGTCGCACGTTACACCCACAACACGTGACAATATATTACACATATTTTAATAAATTTTATTAAAATTAGAATCAATCTACTTCGTTGCTGTGATGAAGGTCCCAACACCTCAATGTTATAACAGGATGCAAAAAATAAAAATATTTAATCAAGTGTTCAATTTGGATGTTTTGAATCAACTAACCCAGTGGTTCTCAACCTTTTTTTGCTCGTGGCCCACTTCTGACTTTCATTCAGTTCTGTGGCCCACGCCCCTCATATTGTTTAATTATAATAAATGTAATATTGATTATAAATATGTACTTTATCAACTGTACTTTCATTTATAACAATTATTACTTGTTTATAGCATAAGGAATATTGATAATAAGAAAGGGGTTTATTAACAAAAAACTTTATTTATAATAGAATTTTTACTTATATAATGTTCTGTTTATTTACAGTATATAATTATGCTGCTGACAAAAAATTACAATAATATTAGTGTCCCTTAGGTTTAGTGAGATCCTTGCGGCTGATGAGAAGAAGCAAGTTTTTGTATATCTGGTTGCAGCGTTGTTAGAGATAATCGAAGATCACCTCTCTTCACAATATCAAGACAGTTACGAGCCTTTGATAGCAGACGAAGAACTCGACTAAATCCAGATTCAACTAGATATGAAGTAGGAAATCCGATAAAAAACAATTTCGCCTTCTCCCAAAGCTGTGGAAATTTATTGGCAATTTCATTGCTTATCCAAAATGTTGTTTGTCATTTTTGAATCTAGCTTGGGCTGTTACATCACTTTGCAGTTCAATGAGATATTCTTGTAATACGCTGTCAACATCAACCGCATTTACCTGAAATGGATCGACCACCCAATCTGGGATAGTCATCTCCAGCAGGTCGCTGAACCGAAATTGCATATCATTGTATAAATTCTTCAAATGCTCAATATATACAAAAATGTCATCATCTTTCAATTCTGTGTCCAAACACTTCGAATACTGAACTGAAGAACACCTGAAATGTATTGAAAAGGTGGCAGTAAAACTCATTTGGAGGAGGGGGAGATATTTAGGAAAATAAAGAATAATTCGTTAGGGCTCTACCTGCTCTGAGAAGGCGCATACCTGTTTACCGGTACTTGGAATTCCCAGATCTAAGGTTGTGGTTTAAGTACAACAGGTTCTGACCCTTCTAAGTAAGGTACACAAAAACAAGGATATCGAGTTATTGTGTTATTACATGTACTGACCATTTGGCATTTTTATTTCTTTTTATATTATTAATAATTTTATTTTAGAAGTGAAAATTTTGTGGCCCACTTAACAGTTTCCATGGCCCTCCAGTTTTCCAAATTTTGTCTGCGGCCCCACAGAAATACGGCTTGGCCCACTGGGGGGGCCATATGGCCCCCGTTGAGAACCACTGAACTAACCGATGGAGTTCAACAGATATGGTCTGAAAATGGTAACACTGAACCAGCTTACTCAGTGCTCTACATAAAAGATTGCTCCCTTTGCATCTTATTCGATGAATTTGGTACCTAGAAATTTTTCTGTTCTGGAGGGTGGGGGAGGGGATCTTCAACATTCATTGAGTCTGACAAGCAAGAGATTATTCTGAAAGGATATGCTTGACCAACAGGTCTGACTTTCAGTTAAAAAACCAATCAATCCCAGTACTTCTTTTTTCCCCTTGGCACTACAGCCCCAGTGGGTCTAGGCCTACCTCCATGAACTTCTCCGTTCACTTCGGTTTTTCTAGGTCTTACACATTTGGTAGGACTCCTTGGGTGGGTGATCAGCTTGTCGCAAGGCCCAGTACTTTTGATCTGCCCATATTTAAAGTTCACTCTGGGTGCAGTATGACAGGTACATAAAACAGCAGTCTTCACTTCCATGTGTATGTCTTCAGTAAGTAATAATTTAAAATATTAGTCTGTACTTTGATGGGAGCCAGCATAGCATAATTGGTATAGCGACTGGCTACAGGCTGGACGACAGAGGGGTAGTAGTTCGAGTCCCGGTAGGGTCAAGAATTTTCTCTTCTCCATGTCATCCAGACTCGCTCTGGGGTTCACCCAGCCTCCTATCCAATGTGTACGGTGGGCTCTTTCCGGGGGGGGGGGGTAAAGTGGCCGGGGCGTGAAGCTGACCACTCACCTCCAATTAGTGCCTAAAGAAAAAAAGTAAAGCTATCCCTGTAACAGGCCATGAAGGCCCATAGGGTTGAGAGATGTTAAGGGTCCCACATTATCTTGACAATCGGCTCAAAGATGGCGGTAAGGTTGTCAGCCTTATGTGCCGGCCGCCTTTCACTCCCCAGGAAAATTATTTAATTAATTCCTGGTACTCATTTCTGTTAGAGGCTGAGTAAACCCCAGGGCCTAGTGAGGCCGGAAGGACTAGGTCAATTGAAAAAAATCCAATGACCTCATCAGGACTTGAACCCGCGACCTTCGGCTTGTAGCATAGTACCACTACACTACCGCATACCCCCTCCAATTAGTGTCTAGGTCAAGAAAATACGGATCTAAACATCCATTCCCCATACATCTTCATGGCGTAGTGCCTAATTAGTTAAGTACAGGGACAACTTTACCTTTTACTCTATACTTTGATAATCACTTACCAATTTCACTTTCAGACACAGACTGTCTCTTTGTTTTCTGCTCAGGTACAGCACTAATACGAAACTTCTTTTGCTCAGATGAGTTCAGCCTAGGCACCAACTTCGATGTCTTCTTTTCCTGCCATGTCTTTTTAGCCACCTTATTCCTCTGAGTTATCTCACCAATATTTGAGGACTCTATACGGCTTTTACCATCAGCTACATCTTCAACATTTCTTTTCATTCCTTAAAGAAAACAAAAATTCAGTTTCAGTCTAAACTGCTGTCTACAACTATAATGTTGCCCATTCTTCTGTAAAGATATGAAAACTGGTCTCTCACACTGGAGGAGAAACACAGACTGAAGGTGACAACAAAGCAGTCAGAATATTACATAACAGAGATAATATGACTTGGATTGGAGAAAAAAAAACAATGAAGAACTTCATGACTTCTACTTTTGATCCTATTGTAACAGTAATTAAATTGAGGAGCCTTGGATGGGCTCTGAAATGCATAATAAATGGTGTAAAGCAACAAGAACATGCTGCCTCCATCTTCAGGGTCAAAAAGTTAAGCCAAGAAAGTAAGCAGCAAGCAGTCTTCAGACTGCCTACTGCTTGCTTGGCTTATTTTTCAACCCTGAAGATGGAGGCAACACAATGCCCTGAAACATCAGTCAACCTCTACCAGACTACACAGCATCACATCCCAGAAGACAGAAATATTCAAGATATTTCCATAAAAATAATCTGTAAAACTTTCTTGATAAAAATGTCTGACAAAAACGTTGAATGTTTAGAACTACATCTTACTTCATATTTGAACTGTACAAGAGGTCTCTTGAATACTGAGTGGTGTACATATACCACCTACCCTAGACTGTTAACTGAAACCACAGCAGCCTGTTTGTAACTGGAGGTTGAAGCTGCTGGAGAAAGGAAACGAACTGAGATTCAGATGAACAATGAATTATATATGTCATTTTCTGATTAACCCATTAATAAAGAATAAAAAGCATTAAAAATACAAACCTTGGTTTCGGGATGATTTTTTTTCATCAGATGCGTTTCCTTCTACAGAAATCTCTACTTGATTCTTCAGATACTGTTTCCTGCTTGTCATTTTATTCTCTTTATTAACTTGACCGGTACGTTTCTTTTTTCTGGTCTTAGCTCTCAACCCTGTTAATGAATCCACAAACTCATCACATGAAGCACCTACCGAAAATAACCTCTGGGGTAACCTGGCACTGAATATCAATAAAAGATTGGCACTGGCAAGTCAACATAAATATTGAAAACTGTTAGAACAAGGAAAACCAAGTGTTCTTAAATCACATTCCATCACTTTACAATGAATGCATATAGCAAAGCTGTTATGCATTCCATACAAATTTCACGAAAACTGAAAGACAACAACTTAACACTGAATGGACTATGTAAATGCTATTACCCAATTACAGGTAGTAACTTTTCTCGAGCTATATTATTTTCACTTACTTGATGATTTTCTTGAATTACATGCACCTCTGTTCTCTGCGGTTACACTGTTAAACCTAGAATGCAGTAAAAAATTTCTATTAACAAAGGAATAGTTTAACTTAGTTTTTAAATACAACACACAGCAGAGACTTACAAATCGAAACACAGTAACAAAACTGACGCTATTAAAACAATGGAATTTGTACTTTAGGATCAGCAGCTTTATTAAGTGCAACAAGAATAACATAAGCTGTTCAAAGTACAGAACCTCACTTAAAATGAATATGCAAAGAATGTGTACAGTTTGAAAAAATAAAACAATTTCTGGAGACTGAAGAAACCTTGTATGCACTCCTCTTTTCTCCTATGTGTGCTACATGCCTTGCCCACCCACCCTGACTGAGCTTTGTAATAATATTTGGTAAGGAGTACAAGTTACAAAGATCCTCACTGTGCAATTTTCTCCAGTCTCCAGTAGCATGATCATGCAAACTGTTAGCTTGATGATCTAGCTNTTGTTAATATATGATGGAAATATACCTCTTGGATGATCTTCCAGGTGAATTCTGAGACGGCCCAAATCTTAATTCACTTTGCTTTTCTGCCGAGAATAATGCAGTATCTCCATCACCATCCTTATATAGGTTTCTAGATATCTGAACATTAAGATCATACATATAAAAATAATATTCTGCACTCTCATATATATTGTTCAGTTCACACTATTAATGGGTGAAGAAAAGACACTGAAAGCATTTACAAACAAAAGACACTGTTTTGACCTAAGAAAGAAGATCAAATGAGAAGCAAAAACAATAAAGGCCTCTAAGAGATGTGAAAAAAATGTGACAGAATAACACACTTGCCATGAAATTCATAGTGAACAGTAACCAAACTACCATGTACAGACTATTCAATGGAAATGCACAGTGTAATTCATTAAAAAACTCAACATTTCAAACTGAGGGTGCAATTCAGAAAATCATGTAACAATTACTATTTTTTTAAATAATTTGATTATGATTTTAATGTATTTTGGTATTTTTGATAACAATGATAGATGCCTGTGACCTCCTGACATGACTGTATAGTAGTACATATTTTTGGCTATATTACAGGGTGATTCATATAGAACTGCCCCGACGAAATGAGCTGTAATATAAAATATACCATACAGATATTAAAGTAATTTACACATATCTTATCTTGGATTGTGTGCCGTGATCAGAGCAGGTGTTGAAAGTGTCCGCCGTTTTCAAGTAGGCACGCCTCCACCCGCGTTTGCATATTCGCCATGACTTGCTGCAGTGTTTCTTCAGTGATGTTCCTGATTTCAGCCAAAATGTTGTCCTTTAAATCCTGTAACGCATGCAGTTTGTTTGCATACACCCTGTCCTTCAGCAAACCCCAGAGAAAAAATCCAGGCTGGTAAGGTTGGGGGATTTTGGGGGCCACATCTTTTCAGAGATGACACAATCAGGGAAGACGCTCTCAATTAGTTCCATGGACATGTTGGACGTGTGGCACATCGCTGAATCCTGCTGAAAATAACCCTGTGTAAATTCCACATCATCCAGCTGCTGCAAGAAATCATAAAAAATACGGCAGTGAGCTGTCCATGGTCATGTTGAAGAAGATCGGTCCAATGATTCATAAACCAGAAATGGTGCACTACACACCCACTTTTTGTGGCTGTAGTGGTGATTCAGCAATCTCATTTGGGTTTTCAGATGCCCAGATCACGGAATTTTGTGCGTTTACATATCCTGATAGGTGGAACCATGCTTCAGCACTAAACCAAGTGATATCCAAAATCCTGGGGTTATCGTGCATGAATTCCCAAAACCATAAATATTACCGTACCCGTTTATCTTTATCAACATCACCCAATTCCTGAACATTGGTGATCTTGTAGGGACGAAGATTCGATTTCTTTGCAGCCCGTTGACACATTGAATAAGAATACCCGGTTTCCTGGCTTAGATGTCGTAATGATTTCTTGGGAGACTGCAGTAACCTGTCCCACACAGTTGCAATCGTTTCTTCTGGCATTTCTGGGCAGTTTTTATCACGTTCACTTAAAAGTGTCCCTGTCCTTTCAAATTTCTGAGCCAAGGACTGTATAGTCGATTTCCCTGGCTTCTTGTGAACTCCAAACTTCATCCTGAATTCCAACTGTGTGTTCACAATCGAGCCTGTTACCCAGTACATGTGCACGAGAAACACTCATGGTTCAACAGTGTACTCCATGACTGTCGCCTGCGCACTGCAGACACGTTTCGGGATTGTCCTTGACCTTGCAGCATAAGGGCTGCCACTTGCCGGATCATGGGCACACCATTCGACTCAGCACGGCCCACAGCCTGCAGAATTATTAGCAAATTCATCGGGCCAGTTCTATACCATTCACCCTGTATAATAATACAGAAGGGAAATGGCCTTATAGACACACTAGACAATTACTGGTCCACTGCTGAACATTTCTATACACATTTTACAGTAACATGATGAAACATCATACATCTCTTAAAAAATCTGGATTTTTACTTTCTTGTGACAACAGGAATCAAACAAACAAAAACTACAACAGACTTTGAAAATTAGATCTCTGTTCAATAAGATGAATGACTGATTAATTAGTCCAACTACAAAAACTACAACAGACTTTGAAAATTAGATCTCTGTTCAATAAGATGAATGACTGATTAATTAGTCAACCTGAACATGTAGCTGTAGACAAAGTTATTGTGCTCTTCAAAGGGTTTCAAACAACACATTCCTAAGAAAGAAAACAGCACAGTATGCTATGGTGTGACATTGTGACAAGACTAGTCATATTTACAATTTGAGTATATATTTAGTAACGATAAGCAAGATGAAACATAGATGATGATAGCTACACATACGATAATAAAAAGTTCCATTAGGTAAGTAGAAAGGATCTAACTATATCAAATAGCTACAACACTGTATCCTTCTGTGACAGAAAAATAAATCATTAACAGTTTCATCTGTTCAGAATTGTTGGAAATCATAATGCAATTCTCAAGGGACTCTCTTGCTTACTGCAACTTGCCATCAGCAAAACTTACTTCTTACTGTTCTACGACTTCTACCATCTATTTTTTTCATTGAAGCATCTTATTATATTTCAGTTCCTAGAAGAATTGTATTACAAGGGTGAGTCAAATGAAAACCTTAAATTTGTAATAAAAAATTGACATTTCCATTATCCTGTAAGTTGGTACATGTGCTACAAACAGCATGCAGAATGGCCTGTAGGCTGCAGCATTGTGCAGATGCACGAACACCGTCACAGCACCAGTATAAGATGGCTGCCCCACTTGAGACTTGCACCAGGGAAGAACAGCGTTCTGTTATTCGGTTTTTGTGTAGTGAAGGTGTGAAACCTATTGAAATTTATCGAAGAATGAAGTTTCAGTATGGTGATGCATGTTTGTCACAGCAGCAAGTGTACAAATGGAGTAGGAAGTTTGCAAATGGTGTGACTTCAGTGGAAGATGCTCCTCGTCCGGGTCAGGCATATCGAGTTGTGACTCCAGAGAACGCTGCAGCAGTTGAAGCCATAGTGAGGGAAAACCATCAAGTGATACTGAATGAAATTGCAGCAAGTTTAAACATTAGAGGTACGCCACGCGGTGGATGAGTGGTTGCGTGGACTACCAAAAGAATTTTTTTCTAAAGGAATTCATGCACTTTGTAAGCGCTGGAGGACTTGCATTGAGCATGGGGGAGATCATGTTGAAGAGTGATACAGCTTTGTACCACTTGTGCACAATAAATAATACTCAAAAAAATATTTAAGGTTTTCATTTGACTCGCCTACATACAATACAATTCCAAAGAGACACACTCACTTCTTGAAAATTGCAAATGGAAAAGATTAATGTTAACATTCTAAATTTTCTGGCATTTGCTTTCTTTATCAGATACTTACTCTATTTCAGTTCCTACAGGACAATAGTACAAGGGCTATTCAGAAAGTAACCTCAGTTTATTTCAGGCAACTATTCGTAACATAGAAGTGGGGGAGAGCTTGTGTATGTGAGGTAATGTAGCATGACTCATTGCCTTGTAAACCATTATATAACTGGTCACCTAGTGTTTGTTCTTGTCTCTACAGAGTGAGTAATGATGTTCCTGTGATTGATAATCCCACCAGTTGCAAAATTCACATTGTTATCCACCTTCCTTGTCCTGTTCTCTATGAGATATCACAGTTCTGCACAAGATAGGTTCCGAAAATGATCACAGATTTGCACAAAATGCAGAGAATGGCTTGGGCTTTTGACTTTTTTAGAGTGATACCACAAAGATGGCAATGAATTTCTCAATCACACTGTATGAATTTTGTATGAAAATGGGAGTAAATGTTGTTCTGAATGGAAAGAAATACAGTGCGGAGTGTCTCAGGGCTCTGTATTAGGCCCACTGCTCTTTTTACTATATGTAAATGACTTACCAAAAATTATATCTGACCTATACAAACCAATATTATTTGCAGATGATACAAGTATCCTTATCTTTGATAAGAATCCTGCAACATTTAAAATTAGAATAAATAAATTATTTGAGATGATAAATGAATGGTTTAGGAAAAATGAGCTAGTAATAAATTATGAAAAAACTTATTTTCTACAGTTTAAAACTAAAAACAGTAAAAACTTAAATGTTCAAGTTAGTTATTTAAACAATCAAATTCCAAGTATTTCTAATATATCGTTTCTGGGATTAAAAATTGAAAATTTTTTAACGTGGGAAAGTCATATTGATGCAGTAATTGATAAGTTAAACAGATCCTGTTTTGCAATCCGATCAGTTAAATCCTTTTTACCACTGGAGACATTAAAAATGATGTATTTTTCCTATGTACATTCTATAATAACGTATGGATTAATATTCTGGGGTAACTCCCCGCATAGTATAAAAGTGTTTAGGATGCAGAAAAGGATAATTAGGATTATAACAAATACAACAAAGAGAACATCGTGTCGTAGTTTGTTTCAAGAATTGGATATCCTCCCCCTACAAGCTCAATATATATTGTCGATCTCTCTGTTTGTCATAGTAAATAAGGAATTGTTCACATTCAACTCACAAATGCATAATTGTAGTACCAGATCTATCTGTGATCTGCATTATCCGCAAACTAGTCTGACACAATTCCAAAAAGGAATATGTTACATGGGGGTAAAGATCTTTAATCATTTGCCACCAAAAATCAAATCTATGTCTAATGACTTGAAAAATTTTAAAATTCAGTTGACAACATTTTTATTGCAAAACTCTTTTTATACATGTGATGAATTCTTTAGTAACAAATTTGCCTAGAAATAAGGATAATAGCATAAACAGTTTTAATATTGCATAATTTTATGTATAGTGATGTAAGACTGTTTGTTTGATATAAATTTAACACATGTTTTTTATCTATTTTAATGATTATAAACTGTACATATATATTGTAACGTGTTTCGTTACTGAATACGCTGTAGAGATCGTTAATTGGTTTATTCAACAATCTACATGAAACGGCTACAATGAATTATAACACAGTTGCGGGTTTCCACACTTTACAAACCCTACAACCAAAGTCTTCACGTACTAATAACGCGGGAGCTATACAAATCTCCCTGAATTACACACTCCAAATATAAGCACTCACTAAGTCTCGAAAGCACACAATAAGTCTTCCGCTCGCTGACTTCTTAGTTATCGCACACTCGCAGGCTGCTACCTTGAGAACTGTGAACTGACTTCGTAGGCAGTGTAGGTCTCTTATAAACCTTCAGCCGGACAACGGGAAAACAACCACGTGGTGGGCATCACTGTTTATCCGCGCTGCCTAGCAACCGCGGTATCCCTTGGTGACGTCACCGCTGTTGACTCGCGTTGCATAGCTACCAGGTTGCGGGGACTCGGCCAACTTCGGCTCTGCTCAGCTCACTTCGGCTTCGCTCGGCGCATCATGGCTGGGGGGGGGGTCATCCATAGCTCAACATGTCACAATATTTATATTTGTATTGTACTATATTAACTATGTGACTGGTTCTATATCTATGTATATGGATTTATGGAATATACAATAAATGAATGAATGAATGAATAACAGGTGATGAAACCTGGGTTTCATTTGTGAATGCTGAAATGAAAGAGCAGTCAAAGCAGTGGATGCACAAACATTCTCCAAACAAGCCAAAAAAAGTTTAAACAAACGGTGTCTGTTGGGAAAGCTGATGGAAACTGTTTTCTGGGACAGGGAAAGAGTTCTGATGGTTGAATAGATGCAACAAATGACCATAAAAACATCAGAAACGTATTGTGAACACTAAAAAAAAAGGTGCATAGTCATACAGAACAAAAGGTTTCTAACATCTGGTGTAATGCTCCTCCATGACAATGCATGTCCACATACAGCTGCTCACACTCGAGCACTGCTGGGGCATTTCAACTGGGAATTGTTTGAACACCCTCCTCACAGCTCTGATCTCACTCCAAGTGACTACCTGCTTGTTTTCCTACCTGAAGAATTGGGTCAGGTCACAGCCCTTCAACAATAATGAGGAGATGCTGGAAGGTGTTAAAATGTGGCTGAGCTCACAGGTGGCAGACTTCTTTGACACAGGTATACAAAAACTTACTCCCTGATAGAACAAGTGTCTCAATTCTGGCGGTGACTACGTTGAGAAGTAGCTTAAGTATGTATGCATTTTTTTGTATACAATATATTTTTTCTCACTTCTTGTTTTGTTAATAGCTTGCCAAAGGTTATTTTCTGAATAGTCCATGTATTACAACACAATTCCCGAAGGACACTCTTGCTTACTACAACTTGCAATAGGAAAAGATTAATACTCACTCTTGTACGTTTCCTGGCATCACTTTTTATTTTTTCATCAGATATTACTGCTGGATAACCTGAACCTTTCTGTGCTGATGCAGTCCTGCAATAGAGAAAGAGAAGCAGTTCCTGTTTGCTTTGTCTTGGGCTAAGGACTGGGGAATTAAATATTCTTGGGTTGTTTTTTGGGTCTGAAAAATGGCCAAACTAGTAACTGTAGAAGAAAAGAAAAGTGTAACCATAACACAGTGAAGCATGCTTCATCTGCATAGTGTCATAACTTTTAAATCAAATCAGAATGTCATATGCCATTGAGGATCACAATGATAATGGAGTTCTTAAACCCCTTTGTAAACCAAAATAAATATGGCAGTCACATGAAACTTTGATAAGAAAGCAAGATCAGTGTGTATTGTAATATCCTGCATCATCTCTGAAAAATGCAGTATAATGGAATCCCATCAGACCTGACTACTTTCAAGAATAAAGCAGTCTTCTGGGATATGGCACCACATAGATATTGTGTTAAGTGACGTTTCAGAAGAACGTATCGCCTCCATCTTCAGGGTAGAAGAAAAAGAAGAAAATCTGTAATTGAAGAACCAGCATGAGCAGGTGCAAATAGACTAGTGCCAAGAACAGGAAGAGAAGGGCTCTAGTTCTTCGCTTGCAGATTTTCTTCTTTTTTTCTTCTACCCTGAAGATGGAGGCAATGCATTCCTCCGAAACGTCGGTTAACACCATATCTACATGGCGCCATATCCCAGAAGACTGCTTTCTTCCTAGTAACTGCCCTGAAAAGTTCAGATCTTACACTGACTATTTTTGTTTTTGCCAAGTTTACCTGTATGTTTAACATGGGTATGTACTTCCAAACAAAAGGTACTGCATAGTATATTTCATGTATTAAAATTTCAAGTCTGAAATTCATTCAGTACAGTTATGTAGATTACACTGTTATCAAGCAGCACAAATTTTCAGTTTCCTATCCCCTTCCAAGTGGTCCACATGGATACTGCAGTATTTAACTACTGTCATCAACTGAGCTACATTCTTTCTCACTTGAAACAAACAATATTTTTTTCTGGTAATTTTAGGAAAACAGTACAGAACAAAATTATAAGACGAGAAAAAAATAAAAACACATATACTACTATGCATGCATATGTGTGTATTACAGTCACGTATTCCTTCAAAACTTATGTTTCTTTGAGACACTAGATCACAGTAATGCAAGTGAAAATACTGTGAAAACTTTATATAAAAATGCTTCTGAAATAATGACTAGCAAATACTAAGTCTTGCATTAGTGACTGCCTTCTCTCCAAAAGTCCAACTGAAAAGCTGAGAAATTAGAATACACTGAACTCTCGATTATCCAGGATAATGGTGGGGATTGAAATCACGATTAATCGAAAAACCGGTTAAGACAAATTTTATTAAAAGTAGTACTCCAATACTGTACCTTCATAATACTATAGGCCTACCTGTATTTAAATTTATTCAACCTCATTTATGTCATCTCATGGCCTATTTAATACTTTTTTTTACAT